TCAGATTACTGTCCCCTACAATAACTTGCTATTTTGAGTTTAAATTAGCCCCCACATTAAAAGATCATGATGTTTATTTATACAGCACATTTTACAGACCAAGGTAACTTGGGTAGGGGAAACCGGAGCACCCAGAGGAAACCTATGCAGACACAGAGAACATCCCAATTCCACACAGAAAGGCCCTGTCCCGACCGGGATTCGAACCCAGGGCCTTCGTGTCAAGAAGCAAGAGTGCTATCCACTCACCCACCGTGCCGCACACACTGTGACCCAGAGGGGAAACTTAATGTTTCTAAGACTGACCCAGAGAATATACAGGGCTACTTTGGCTTGGCCCTGTCGATTACGGTTGGTAAAAATAAATATTGTCATTTGCTTCTGTCCTGTTAGTCAAAATAAAACTTATCACGACTGAATAGTTTCTCCCTGTAAAACTAAAGCTCATTTCATGGCTTTGGTCATCACATACAAAACTGTTGAACTCGTTCAAAACCAAAATCTGTCAATCTGATTTCATACAATACTTTATCTTTTTACATCCTGAACATTTTTCCTAACACGACAAGGTGTGTTTTTTTATTGTTTACATTTGTACAGTTCTACCATAATGATTGTGAGATTTCATAACACTTTTAAGCAACTTTTGTTAAAGTTAAACTCATCATTCTATCAATGTGCAGAAGCCTGTACTTTTCCCTTGTTTTGTCTATCTGAAGGCCAAGCTACATGGCACCGTGGCAGCTGCTGATTGGAGGTCTCCATGCCTCCGCTCTGTATAATACACTTGCATTCTGTTGTATCTGTTGTTCGTGCTGTCTCTACCATCGACAATAAAACATGTCTTCTGTCAGAATTAAAGACGCGATCCCAGACTTTGTCATCTTCTTCAGGTGGTGGAGGATGCGGGCATTGTCTGTAACATCTAGAGAACAGAAGACTTTTTTTTTTACACAAAAATTTGTTTTTTTTTTCAAGCCAAAACTGAGAAACCTCAAGAGAATGCATCTGGATCAGCCCATGGAAAATCTGCACAGCCCCTGATTCCAGTCAGGCTGTGAGCTGCTGAGACATGGACAACACCATCGTCCTCTTTTGCATGGACATCATTTGGAACAATTGGATTACACAATTTGGACATAATTTGGAACAATCTGGATTTCTGAATTTGGACATAATTTGGACTGAATTGAATTGCTGAATCTGGACACTAAAGCTGAAACGTGTGATTCAAAGACACGTCACAGAAGAATTCATGGCTCGACACAAATGCAGCCTGAAGAAACAACACGGAGAAGTGGGAGAGACTGTTTTCAAAGCAATATCTGAGAACCATCGACTGATGAAGTTTGGTATTTTACTGAAGATTGTTGACAAGTTTTATGAAAGATCTGAACATGTTTTTGAAGTATTCCGAGTTCTGAGTTTTTTGAAGTACCGAGTGAAGTACCGAGTTTAAGTATTGAGTTATGATGTTATGTTGCTGTTTATCGATCCTGATGGTCACACGTGAATGTGTGACCAGAGGGGGGAATGTGAGATTTCATAACACTTTTAAGCAACTTTTGTTAAAGTTAAACTCATCATTCTATCAATGTGCAGAAGCCTGTACTTTTCCACTTCATGTTTTGTCTATCTGAAGGCCAAGCTACAAGCACACCGTGGCAGCTGCTGATTGGAGGTCTCCATGCCTCCGCTCTGTATAATACACTTGCATTCTGTTGTATCTGTTGTTCGTGCTGTCTCTACCATCGACAATAAAACATGTCTTCTGTCAGAATTTAAGACGCGATCCCAGACTTTGTCATCTTCTTCAGGTGGTGGAGAATGCGGGCATTGTCTGTAACATCTAGAGAACAGAAGACTACTTTTTTTTTACACAAAAATTTGTTTTTTTTTTTAAAGCCAAAACTGAGAAACCTCAAGAGAAACCATGCGTCTGGACCAGCACACTTGGACAATCTGCACAGCCCCTGATTCCAGTCAGGCTGTGAGCTGCTGAGACATGGACAACACCAGCGTCCTCTTTTGCATGGACATCATTTGGAACAATTGGATTACACAATTTGGACATAATTTGGACTGAATTGAATTGCTGAATCTGGACACTGAAGCTGAAATGTGTGATTCAAAGACACGTCACAGAAGAATTCATGGCTCAACACAAATGCAGCCTGAAGAAACCAACACGGAGAAGTGGGAGAGACTGTTTTCAAAGCAATATCTGGAACCACATCGACTGATGAAGTTTGGTATTTTACTGAAGATTGTTGACAAGTTTTATGAAAGATCTGAACATGTGTAATGAGTTTTCTGAGTTTTTGAAGTATTCCGAGTTCTGAGTTTTTTGAAGTACCGAGTGAAGTACCGAGTTTGAGTTGTTAAAGTATTGAGTTATGATGTTATGTTGCTGTTTATCGATCCTGATGGTCACACGTGAATGTATGACCAGAGGGGGGAATGTGAGATTTCATAACACTTTTAAACAACTTTTGTTAAAGTTAAACTCATCATTCTATCAATGTGCAGAAGCCTGTACTTTTCCCTTGTTTTGTCTATCTGAAGGCCAAGCTACACGGCACCGTGGAAGCTGCTGATTGGAGGTCTCCATGCCTCCGCTCTGTATAATACACTTGCATTCTGTTGTATCTGTTGTTCGTGCTGTCTCTACCATCGACAATAAAACATGTCTTCTGTCTGAATTTAAGACGCGATCCCAGACTTTGTCATCTTCTTCAGGTGGTGGAGGATGCGGGCCTTGTCTGTAACATCTAGAGAACAGAAGACTACTTTTTGTTTAAAGTCATAATTTCAATATTTTTTATTTTTATACACACATTATTAACTAAATGTTGCGTTCTAATCTTTTTTTAGGAGGAGGAGAGCGCAGTCAGGCCAGGCTCGCCTCGCACATCTTAACACTAGAACGCCCAGCCAAATTTGGGGCTAGTTTAGAGAAGAGGAGCTAACCCGCTACTTGGGTTGCTAACATTTGCATGTCAAATGAGGTGATGACCGAAACAACAGGGGGCTAGGTTGGGCTTTGTTTATTCGTCTGGGGGAGGAAGGGCTGCGAATGAGTGACTTCCAGACTGTGAACCCTGAGAATTAATATACTGTATATATTTTGTAATAACATTTTTCTCAGTGGCTTTGGTGCATTTAAAGTTGTCGAAACTATTAGTCAATTTTTCTTATTTTGTAGCATTTAAAATCAATAAATCTCACTAACCAAAAAAAACCTGTGTGTTGACCTCTCCCTAAGATGGCAAAGTAAAGTGGTGTGTATTTCACATATGTACTGCATATGCAATAATACAGTAACTTATGTCTCTTTATATAGAACAAACATACAAAAAAGCGTTATGGTAGAACTCTGATAAATGTAAACAATATAACACACCTTTTCATGAGTGAAAGCTGTAATTCACCTAAGAGCAATTGTTCAAATTTAGAAGGGATTTTTCAGGATATAAAAAGATAGAGGAATGTATGAAATTAGCTTGACAGTATGTTTCATTCTGACTGAAGCAAATGATAATGTTATAAAACAGTATGTTTCATTCTGACTGAAGCACATGATAATGTTATAAAACAGTATGTGTCATTCTGACTGAAGCACATGATAATGTTATAAAACAGTATGTTTCATTCTGACTGAAACAGTACATAAAACAGTATGTTTCATTCTGACTGAAGCACATGATAATGTTATAAAACAGTATGTTTCATTCTGACAGAAGCACATGATAATGTTATAAAACAGTATGTTTCATTCTGACTGAAGCTCATGATAATGTTATAAAACAGTATGTTTCATTCTGACTGAAGCACATGATAATGTTATAAAACAGTATGTTTCATTCTGACTGAAGCACATGATAATGTTATAAAACAGTATGTTTCATTCTGACTGAAGCACATGATAATGTTATAAAACAGTATGTGTCATTCTGACTGAAGCACATGATAATGTTATAAAACAGTATGTTTCATTCTGACTGAAGCACATGATAATGTTATAAAACAGTATGTTTCACTCTGACTGAAGCACACGATTATGTTATAAAACATTATGTTTCATTCTGACTGAAGCACATGATAATGTTATAAAACAGTATGTTTCATTCTGACTGAAGCACATGATAATGTTATAAAACAGTATGTTTCATTCTGACTGAAGCACATGATAATGTTATAAAACAGTATGTTTCATTCTGACTGAAGCTCATGATAATTTTATGTGATGTGAGAAATGCACTAAAGCCACTGGAGAAAAACTGTAACTATTCAGATCCTCCCCCTCCCCCTAAGATGGCAAAGTGAAGCTCAGCCTGTGATAACGGCCCTATTTACATAACAAAGTTGGTCGTTCACAGGTGATTTCGTTTGTTAGCTAAAATCCTTGGGGTCATTTGGCACCGTGGAGGGGATGATAGGTATAAGTGCCAAATGACACCTCCATGCGAGTGCTAGTGTTAAAGCTGCTTTCAATATCTTTTCAAATCTGTTTTCCTTTTCTCCATAGCATGTCTGTAACAAAAGTTCTCATAATCTGAAGTCAGCGTATTTACATGGTTTTATGAAACAGAATTCTGAGAAAAACAGGTTTAAAGATCGACATTCCAAACATAATCATCACAGTCATATAACATGTAAATTTTGAATTACTCTGTTTTGGCACACTTGTTTTAGTCACTATGTTGTAGAAGATTAAAAAGATGTTACTTTGGCACCAATTAAACACACAACACTCATGAATTAGTCGAAAATCAAGAATGTATTGATTCTTTCAATATTCAATGGACCTGGTCCGTTGGTCATTTTTGACGGTGAGTGATGAAGTTTTGAAAGCAATGCATGCAAAGTAGGCTATGCTAAATAAATTGTTACAATATGCTAACATATTATTTAAACCCGCAGGTATAATGGATCAACACTTCTACGCGGAAGAAATCATCAAAAAAGCTGCTGGTCCATACTTAAGGGAGCATTTCCGTATGTCTACACATAGATTCTTCCAAGGTAGGCTAACAATCTGTATTCCAAATCTTCAGCATGATTATGACAAAAGCAACGTCGTGATGATTAGGCTACTAATGTTTGTTTAATGATTAAGTTGTCCTCCTAATTTGTCCTGTTTGATTTTTTAAGACAACGATCCAAAACACACAGCAAAAAGTGTCAAAGCCTGCATTCAAAGGGAGGGGATCAACTGGGTACCGACACCGGCAGAGTGAGTTACCGTAGTTATTTATATATATATATATATATATATATATATATATATATATTCTGGATGAATACATGCTGTATCGGAAAATAGGCTAACAGTGCTGACATGTCCATGTGTTTTTGTTTAAGGTCGCCGGATCTGAACCCCATTGAGTTAGTGTGGGCGTCCATGAAAAGATACATTCGCTGTGAGGCCAAGCCGATGAGCAAGGACGCACTGATCTCCGCAATAGAGTTTTTTTGGCTAAACAAACTCACAACCCAGGTCTGCAATAAATATATAGACCACCTGGACAAAGTCATCGACCAGGTCATAGCCTTGAAGGGAGAGGCAACTGGCATGTGATATCCCCACGGGCCAAGGGATGTCCACGTTAGCCTATATTAGCCTACTATTGTTAGGATTTCTATATCCAGTGTTTTGTCAAGGTGCCAATTGCTAATTTAATAAACATTTCCTCCAATGATAAAACTGAATGGATCTTGTTTGATGAGTATTGTGATGTATTCCATTGATTGCACACCAGTGCACTGAGCCAAAATGCGTCAGCGTCTCTCTCTCGCTCTCTCTCTTATTTACATCACGCCGTGTTTGAAAATGGGATTCATTTTAACCAATACTATTAAAACTTTGCTCAGCCAAACAGTAAATACCAGAAGAAGACCTCACTAAAAAATCACGAGAGGCAGATCGCTTTCAGAATGTCTTCATTTTCGAATTCGCATAGAATTCTATAGACAATACATAATTATTTTAAATATATACGTTAATGCAATTCGTATTATAAAGATAAAGATTATAAAGAAAGAAATAGCATTCAATAGAAACACATTTACATTCACATGCACGGCCCAGCCGCGGCCAGGGATAGGCCTGGGTAGGCCGGTGCCTACAGTACCAGTTTTTTTCTTGGCCTTCCCAATTTTGTTCTTCGCCTCTCAAGTCATTAGACTTTTTTGTTTAAAGTCATAATTTCAATATTTTTTATTTTTATACACACATTATTAACTAAATGTTGCGTTCTAATCTTTTTTTTAGAAAATATAACCCCCTGAGCGTCATCACGTTCCTACGTTGCTTCAAATATAGTTCCGTTTATTGGCTAAACAATTTTGTCCAATAAGCTGCATGATCATATCACACAGCGCGAAGCTCGTTCCCCGAGAACAACAGCTATTCCTCCTCTTAAGGACCGACAATGCTCTCAAAACATTCACAACAGAGTATCCTTTTTCATTTTATTTTTAAGAAAGTTCAGCGTGAACTTCTTGAGGTGGCCCGTAGGTCCCAGGCCAGGCTCGCCTCGCACATCTTAAAGCTGCTTTCAATATCTTTTCAAATCTGTTTTCCTTTTCTCCATAGCAGGTCTGTAACAAAAGTTCTCATAATCTGAAGTCAGCGTATTTACATGGTTTTATGAAACAGAATTCTGAGAAAAACAGGTTTAAAGATCGACATTCTAAACATAATCATCACAGTCATATAACATGTAAAATTTGAATTACTCTGTTATGGCACACTTGTTTTAGTCACTATGTTGTAGAAGATTAAAAAGATGTTACTTCGGCACCAATTAAACACACAACACTCATGAATTAGTCGAAAATCAAGAATGTATTGATTCTTTCAATATTCAATGGATTGAATTTTGACCTCCTCTTCTTTTTCTTTCTCTTTTATAATTTACTGAAAATTAGATATGTATTAGACATTGCCAGTATTATTCTATCAAATCACGCAGTCTAAATATCCACAACCACCAAGCATTTTTAATGCAAGGAGAAACTTAGGTAACTTTAAACACAAATAAAACAAATGGACCTGTCCGACTCGAGTGTCTATGCTTCGTGTGTCTCTGGTTCTGTCCAGGTGTCTATGATCCGCGTGTCTCGCGTGTCTCCGCCTGTCTGGGTTCTGTCTGCGTATATGTAAATGTAAATGTAAATGTCTGTCTGTGGTTCTGTTCGGGTGTCTATGGTCCTGTCTGTGGTTCTGTTCGCGTGTCTATGGTCCGCGCTCGGAGCCCAGACGGCAGTGCGTTCACTGAGCTGTCAGAGCGGGGGTCACAGCAGCTGCTCCCGGGGCCAGAACGGAGGATGTAACGTAACGTTCGGTTTATCAAAACATATCACAATATTTAACGTATAACACTAGTGAATTTCACCTAGATTTTTTCAGACATTAAAGACAAGATGTTATATAATAATTGTTTAATGACAAAACAATTTTGCCACAAGCAACCAAAAGATGGGCAACCAAAATTGCCTCAGACAAGAATCGAACCTGGGTTCTCCAGGTCCTAGTCTTCAATGTTAACCATTTGGCCAACATAGCATCTCTGGGCTAGACAGGTTTGCACGCAGTATCATACCTGAGCGTCTAAGTCGCTGGCAGAGCTAAAGCGGACTTAGCCTGCCACCTTGTGGCGATAAGATGTACTATTTTTCACGCAGCTGCGTGATTCCAGAGAAGCGTGAATGAAGACGACAAAACGGAATGGGACCTACTGTAGCTTCAGGAAGACACCGGGAGGTCTGGAAAGCTCATATGCTAAGTGTCTTTTGTTGTGTTGGTTTCTTCCTTTTACATCTGCATACGAAGGTGTGTCTTGCTCTACCAAAAGGGGCTTGCAGATTGTGAATCTTCAGACTTGTCCTGAGAGAGGCTAGGGTCTGTGCCTTGCCTCTGTCAAGACATTCTCCTTGTACAATGTAACAAGTAAAAGATTAACTTTGTCTCTTTGTTGTGTGAGATTTCATCAGGTTCAACTGTGGTTGAAACAGCTTTATCAGGGTGGTATCAACCGCGAACTTGATCAGCTTCACGGAGTTGTGGCTGGAGGTGCAGTGGTTGGTGTATAGGGAGAAGAGCAGGGGAGAAAGAACACAGCCCTGTGGGGCTCCTGTATTAATAATCCGAGAGTCCGAGACATTCTTCCCCCGACGCACTCGCTGCTTCCTGTCTGTCAGGAAGTCAGTGATCCACCTGCAGGTGGAATCGAGCACGTTGAGCTGGGAGAGCTTGTCCTGGAGCAGGGATGGCAGGATCGTGTTGAAGGCAGAGCTGTAGTCCACGAACAGGACCCAGGAGTCCAGGTGCTGTAGGATGTGGTGGAGGGCCAGGTTAATGGCGTCGTCTACAGATCTGTTGGCTCTGTAGGCGAACTGCAGGGGGTCCAGGAGGGGGGAGGTGAGGGACTTGAGATGGGAGAGAACCAGGCGTTCAAATGACTTCATGACGACAGACGTAAGTGCTACAGGTCTGTAGTCATTGAGTCCTGTGATCCTAGGCTTCTTCGGGACGGGGACAATGATGGAGGATTTGAAGCAGGCCGGGACATGGCAGGACTGCAGAGAGGTGTTGAAAATGTCCGTGAACACAGGAGTAAGCTCACTGGCGCAGTGTCTCAGAGTGGCCGGAGACACGTGGTCCGGGCCAGGAGCTTTGCGGGGGTGCAGCCTCAAGAAGAGTTGTTTAATATCTTTAGAGGCTATTGTCAGCCTGGGGGCAGGGCTGATGGGTGGGTCATTAGAGTAGTGGAGGGTGGGGGAGGGAGAGGTGTCAGGGGCAGCATCAAAGCGACTGAAAAAAAAGTTCAGTTCGTCAGCTAGCTTGTGGTCGTCAGCACAGGGGGGGCTTTGGGCAAGCTCTGGAAGATGCAATGGTTCCTGAATTATCTCACTTCTCGATTCCAGACACTGTATGAAGTGAATGGCACTGTGTCTGTGGATGAAAGTATGATCAAGTTCAGAGGGCGTCTCTCATTCAGCCAGTACCTCCCCATGAAGCCGACCAAGTGGGGTATCATGGTGTGGGTCATGGCGGAGAGCTCCACAGGATATGTGACCAACGTCCAGGTGTATTGCGGCCGTGAAGGGAAATACAAGAAGGGCCTTGCACACCGTGTGGTCATGGATCTAGCCAGACCCTATTATGGCTCTTACCTGTCCATTTACATTGACAATTTTTACACTGGGGTAGAGCTGCTGGAGGATATGAAGAGCCATGGTTTGAACGCTTGTGGCAATATTCGTGCTAACCGCAGGAGTCTTCCTAAAAATGATATTTTGAGAGCGTCGTTAGGAAGACATGATTTCAATGTGGCTCAGAAGGAAACCTCACCTTCTGCATTTGGCAGGTCACGAAGACCGTCATGGTGCTCTCCAACCATTACGATCCTACTGAGACGGGGACAGTGAATCGAAGGAGGGAGGGAGCCGGGCAATCCCAGGTGACCGTGCCAAGTTGCCTAGCGAACTACCAGAAATATATGAAAGGTGTGTTTGCCGGATTTATATTATGGACACACGACTAATTTTTAATTTTTTTTTATCAAAAGCTAATTTACACCTGTGTCTTTTGAGTGCAATGTGTATATAAACGTGTTTCTAGACAAGTGTTGTGTGTGTGTTCCAGGTGTCAATCTGCTCGATCAAATGGACGATGGGTTCCAGCGTTGATCGAAGAAGTGGTGGAGGAGGGTGTTTTTCTTCTTCTTGGCTGTGTCCTGCCACAATGCATACGTTATTTCAAGGTCTGTTGGAGGAACTGCCTTCAACAACAAGTACAGAGGGTAGAAGAACTGGCTTGAGGATCTGTCAGAGGAGCTCATCACACTGACAGCAAGGGCTATTCCTATGACTCCTCCTCCACCTCGTCCTTTTCCTTCTCATTCTCCATCTTCTCTCCCACCTTCCTCTCCACCTCCTCTTCCTCCTTCTCCATCTACAGGACCATACAGAACCAAAACAACCACATGTCCTCCACACCATTACTTTGGAAAGATATCAGATAAACGAAGGCATTGCAGAGATTGTTAACTAGTCCCTGACAATGACAAAGCAGTAACTGTCTATGGCTGTTCACTGTGTAAAATACCTCTGCATATCGAGTGCTTTGGAAAGCACTATCACCGTTACTTATGAGAGCACTGCTACTTTATTTTTTACATGCTTGAAATAAGTGCAGCTTCTTTGTGTGAAATGAGTGCTCTTCTTGCACTGCCACCTTATGTTTATATTCTTTATTGAAACAGTTGCTTTTGGTTAGTGCCATTTCATTGCCAAACTCCGAACTTATTGTTTTGAGAAACATGTGTTATTCTCACATTATTTTTGTTGTTTTATCTTTCCTATGTTGAAGTTGTATATTCTTTGTATTATTATACTACCAGCTCTCAAATTCTCTTGAAATAATTTTTCTATCTGCCCTAGAGGCTGACATATCAATATTTTGGAAGACGTTGAAACAGGTTCAGGTTTTAGAGGGTGGTTCTAAAGTCGCCTCAGGTTTTACAGGTATGTTCCACTAGGTGTGTATGGTTAATGGTTAATGTGATTCACCTGTGTGTATTCATTGTATTTATATTCCTTAGTTGATGTCCATCCATTGTTTCTGCCATTTTTGTTACTGTCTTGTGTTTGGTTCTGGAGTTTAGTATTTTACACAAAGAGAAGAGCTTTGGTGCTTAGTAAATGACATAAAGATCATCCTCGACGCAGAAACCAGAGCTGATAGACAGTGCATATATTAACCCATTTCTGAGACATGGGGGGTAATACCAGCAAAGATGAAACTTCCAGAGGATCGTTTACATTTTTAAATACGAGCAAATATGTGCAAATGGTCCCATAGAAAATGGTGGTCATGATTGAGCTGAATGCAGTTGTGTGTGGTTGTATGCAGTTGTGTGTGCTCGCCCCCTGCTGGGCCTGTGCTTTCAATCCCAGCGGTGGGTCTTTGATGTGAGAGGGAGCAATTTGGCTGAATCCAATGAGACAGACGTATAGACCCAGAGACCTGCGCGCAGAGCAGAGAGGCGCCACTGTTCTCTGCTGGGAACAGAGCGTTTTGTCTCATGAATAAAACAAGTTTTTTTTTTTTTCAACAGAAAGCCCTGTACGGTGGTCCCTCGTTTATCTTGGGGAGGTTAGAGTAGTTCCACGCTGATGCAGGAAGTCTAAGGCTGTGTTCAGGCTAAATAGGCTAAGCCTAAATATCAGCTGCAAAAACGCAGGGTGGAAGTGGTGTGCACTTTGGTATCAGCAAACATGTAAGCGGCACTTGTTCACAGTTACAGTAGAATTTCAACTCAAGAGAGATATGTTCACACACGCTGTGTCCCCCCATCCTCAGTCCTGGTTTAATCCTGGTTTAGCTCCTGTTTTGGTTGTTTTTTAGTGTCTTAATTTTCCTGGTTTGGACCGGCATAGATCACCGTCACCACTTTGCTGCTCTCACGTGTGTGCGTCAACCAATATGTCCTAGAATTGAACATTGTCAGAGAAGCCTGTCTCACATTTTCAGGAAGACCGTTCCAGATTTCAGCTGCATAAATCAGTCTGCCAGTCCCTCCTCAGTCTGAGTTGGCTCATATGACATTAACCTATCACAGATGTCATTTGGTCTGAGGCCATGGAGAGCAGAGCTGCTTTGAAGTCTATCTATTCTCTGAGCCACAGGAAGCAAGTGCCTACTTGTGTCCCATTGATTCAGGCATCTACAGTATGTATCTGTGACCGAGGGAAGGAATAAATTAATTTAGCATAAAACCAAATTACAATTCACCAAGTTAAAAAGGTCAGCAACGCCACTTAGGTTAAGGACCTAGGACCTATTTTAAAACACAGGTATAAAATCACTGGAGTGAGCAGTGCAAAATAAACCAGGTGATACAATTAAAAGATTTATTACAATAAGAAAATGTTAAAATGAGCAGGCGAGTGCCATAAAACCAGTCGGTGCAAAAAGAGATTAAAAGCCGCTGCAGTGGACGGTCCTGGTGCTCCCGTGTCCTCAAAGCACCACACCCTGGCCCTCGAGACCAGCACCTCTCGCCGCTCCTGAGGGAACAAGAACAGGACCGCCAGTGGGGGGATTGTTGGCCCCGGAAAGCCCCGCCCCTTCTGGTGCCACTCACCGGGCCTGAGCGGCTGTCTCAGGTGAAGTAGTTCAGGCCTTGAGTGGCTGGTCAACTGGTCCCGCTGTGGCTCATCCCGCTGCTCTGTGGCTCGTCCCGCTGCTCTGTGGCTCTTGTGCCTTTCCAGTTTCCTTCCTTCGCGCGCTTCTTGCCATGTCCTCCCAGCACTTTTAAAGTCTGTCACAATTGTCCTTCATGCGCCGCAGGTGCGCAGTGCCAATGACAGACTTGTGGGTGGGCCTGCACTCCATTGCACCGCACACATAACTTCAACACATGTATCAGTGATCAAAACAAACCCAATAAAATCATGCGTTAATAATAAAAACAATCAATGAAGTCATGCAATAATGGTAAAAACAAATCTAATAAAAACATGCAATAAAAACAAGGGTGCATTAAAAGGCCATGTCCCACATATCAATTCAATCAATTAAACTTTATTACAATCCCATATAATTCATAAAGACATACGAGACAAAGTTATGACCTATAAAAACATCATTTTGAAAATCGCGAGAAACAGCCTTCGAGAAAATAAAGTTGAATAACCGTAATATAAAATTTCACATCTGGGGGACATGAGCCAAGTTTATGGATGCAAACACACACAGTAATGAAAAGCACATTTGAACCAAGCAATTTGTGTTTATGGGCATTTGTTCCGATGGCGTTGCTGTTGTGCCGTAACGGGGGCAGACGTGTTGCTAAGGCAAGCTGCTAAGGGACCACAGATGTGGCAAGCCCAAAATGGTGAGTGTGACACAAACAGTTACTGAGCTAAAGGACTTTACTTTTCCATGGAAGTCAAGAGGAGCCAGAGTGAGTTGGAGCACAATCTCTTCCATGAGCACTTCCCTATTGAGCTTCATTTAGCTAGAGGGTTAACATTGTCCATCTATTTACAGTCTATGAACTCCCTTCGACAGTGTGATTGTTCTAAACGGCATCCATGTCTATGAGAGTAAACTCCGGGCCTTTCCTTCTTGAATTCTGATAATAATAATTATAATAATGCAGTTTATACAGCACTGTTTTGGACACTCAAAGTCGCTTCACATGTCATTATTCAATCACTCCATACACAACGGTGATAAATTACTACTGTAGCCACAGCTGCCCTGGGGCAGACTGACGAAAGCGAGGCAACTAGTCTGTGCCATGGGCCCCTCTGACCACCATCAACCATTAATACACACACCAGACTCATTTAAATACCGCCGCACTCTTCCACCTGGTAATCCCAGAGGTCTCCCACCACAGTACTAACCAGGACCTGTCCTGCTTAGCCTCAGAGGTCTGACAGGGTCTTTCACATCAAGTATGGCCTCATGCAGATAACTTTAAACAGGGTCATTGAAACTGCGATGTTTTTACAAACTCTTTTCCTGTTTTTTACTGCGATTGTTTGAGGTGACCTTAATAATCAGGTAAACAACTCACTTCAAAAGGCGGCTTCTGTTTTCCTCTTGATTCAAAAGGAGCAGATGTCAGTGTTGTCTTCTCGACCCTGGATTAAATCTTGTTTATCTCAAGATATTCATATAGTTAGAAAATAATGAGAATACACGGTCTGAGAATTGAGTTGCATTAATTACCGTAGAATGAAAATAACTTTGATTATTTGATTGACTTGTTTTCGACCTGTATTGATGTTGGAATTGCGGCCAGAAACAAACATTTACCTGCAAAGATTGAGGGCTTTTCTTTGTGACGTTTGCATATGTTTCCTGTGATCATCCTTCGGGTGCTCCGGTTTCCCCTACCACTAAAAACATGTATAATATTACCCCGTGGTCCGTGTATCTTCTGTTCATTCTATTTTAGTTTCTGAAGTTTTTCTTACCTCCATTGTTGAAACAAGAAATTGAAAAAACCCCTTCCTTAGAATAGTTTAATTTTTCTGACTTAAAACTATTGGTTTGGGGTGTGATGTGAATAACATGCACATGCTGACACACAGACAAGAGTGAATAAAGTATAACCACCATAACAATTTATATTACCAGTAATCACATGTACTAACAATTATATTGATCAGTAAATGTTCTTATAAGTATCTCCATAAAATGTTCTTATATTATCAGTAAGAGTCTGCATAATAGGCCTTTGTTATATGTGTTAGTGCGGTCAGTGAGAATTCAAGGACAGGCTGGTCTCTGTGCAAAAGTAACCATTTCAGGAACGATGTGTCTGCTTCGCATGAGACAAAAATCCGGACCAGGCCAGTCTCAGGGACTGAGGTGATAAGGAGCCCATGACGTCTTCGAGGGACGAGTCCTGATCTTCAGCACATTTATAAAACTGTATTATGTAGAAATTGTGAACGAGTCTGGACAAGGGACCTGCAGTATAAAGTCAGAGCGCCTGACTTTATACTCATATATAGATTGGAGAGGGAGAGCTAACTAAGTCCAGACTGCTGTTTAGACTCTTTGTATCAGGGAATAAACTCTTTGGATTTAACTTTTTGAATACTGGTCATCTTTATATGGGATTTTCAACACGTCATTTTTTACAATAGGTGAGAGGCCTTCATTTTTTTGGATTGCCAGAAACGGAAATCGAATAAACGGAAGGTACGCAGACCCCTGTAACACCCTCCTCACCCTTGCCTCCTTTTTTCCTTAAATAAAGGTTAAAAAAATATAGGGCTAAGGCAAAAGAAGTATGTTTTTTTGGTTTAATGAATCAGCTAATGTTTGTACCCAAAAAAGCAATTATGTTACATTGCCAAATTTGGTCATTGAATCTACTAATATTGTTATGTTTGAGTTTTAAAGGGTTATCTCCTCTACTATTTCGCAGTAGTTTATATATTTTTTATTTGAAATTTCATTTTCCTCCCATTCTCCTTCTGCTGAGAACAATGCTTGAATGTGAGAAACTAATTGGCTTTTTCCCTTTGCAATAAATCAAATGAGTCAGTTTGTGCATTTCAAGTTTTTCGCACATTTCTGTCTCCTCCTCTCACCCGCACACACCAAATTTTCTTTAGAGCGATTGTTTGTGTAATTTATATTCTCTCACTCCCGCTGTGACCTCCATGAGCAACCAACTTAAAATGTCCCTCTGATATACGAAGGCAGCGTTGTGCATGCATCAAATGAGTAATAAATCCACCGATTGCTAACATGGTCAGTCGTTTAAGCAGCACCAGGAAGCAGTCATGTCTCACACAGCAATAAATGATATTGGGTCATGTTGGGCTTGTTCTATCTGTTTCTGTCGGTTTTCATGTTAAAATCAATTCAATTCAATTCAATGTATTTATGTATAGCCCTAAATCACAACAGTATATATCTTGGGGGACTTTACAAAGCTGTCGCCAAAACTGATCAGAGAATCTAACAGTTCCATCACAGAAAATGCAATGATAAAACATGTACAGAGCCATTGGTCTAAAAGAGGCAGATGACCACCTTCCAGAAATGTCCATAAAAATCGTTGAATGTCGAGTGTCCTGGATCATCACCACTGTCCCTGAACCCTCCTGCCACCAATGGGGGCGGGTCCTGGCTCAAAAAAGTTGTACCCGGAAACAGAATTATCCAATGCATTCTAGGCATTCTGGCATGTGTCAGGCTCGTGACGACTAAGGAACATACACCCATGTTTTTTTTTACCATTTATCTGCGGGAGGGGCCACTTAGAGCCATTTAGAAAAATCATCACACATAAGTTTCAACGCCAGAGATGGGTGTCACTACGTCCGTTAGTATTTACAGTCTATGGTTTTGTTTCTCTGATGGGATCAAACTTTCACACGGAATGTTGTTGATAACTATTTTTTTATTGTACGCTTGAGGTTTCCATTCATATATTACTGTATATATTACATCCTGAGGTTTCTCACTTTTCTCCCAATGGGTTTCTGAGTTTTTCCTTCCATATTCAGGAGGGTCTGTTGGACAGTTAGTGTCTATCAAAAAGGACTGTGGTGATGAGGAGACTTTAACATTCTACAACATGTATGGACATTGATAAAAACATTCAAGGACATTGGTCTCTCCCTATGGACCATTACATACAGTACAGACAAAAACTTTGGACATACTTTCTCATTCACCAAGTGTGACACATATCACACAGGAGAAAAGTACATCTGGCATGGATAGAAACACTCAAGAAGAAAAATGTTGTGCCAAGAAAGAAGTGTGCAAAAATGTTAAATGCAGGATATATTATGTATAATAAAAGTGGCAATTAAGAAGCATTGGCAATAGTAGTGCAGGTTTTGTTTTTTTTCAGTCCTAGTGCAAGTGACTTAAAGTGACTTGTTGTACAGTCTGACAGCGGTGGGGATAAAGATCCTGCGGTAGCGCTCCTTCTTGCACTGAGGGTGTCTCAGTCTTCCTCCTGAGGAACTCCTCAGCTCCTCTACAGTCCTGTGCAGTGGGTGGGAGGTGTTGTCCATGATGTTGTCCATGACCCTCCTGTCCCTCACCTCCTCCACAGAGTCCAGGGAGCAGCCCAGAGTGGAGCTGGCCCTCCTGACCAGCTTGTTAAGTCTACTCCTGTCCCGCTCTCTGCTGCCCGGTGCCCAGCACACGGAAGCGTAGTGTATGGCAGTCGCTACCACAGAGTCATATAAAGTCCTGAGCAGAGGCCCGCTCACTGCGAAGGACCTCAGCCTCCTCAGAAGTATAGGGCGTTGGTGTTGTTGGACCAGTCCAGTTTATTGTTAATGTGAACACCCAGGTACTTGAAGCTGTCCACCAGCTCAATGTCCTCCCCCTGGATGTTCAGCAGCATGTGGGAAAGTGTTTTTTTCCTGAAGTCGATTACCATCTCCTTGGTCTTACAGGTGTTTAAGCACAAGTGGTTGCGCTCACAACAGTTGACAAAGTCTGTGATAACCGACCGGTATTCCAGTTCGTTCCCCTCAGACACACAGCCCGAGATGGCGAAGTCGTCGGAGGCAAGGCAAGTTTATTTGTATAGCACAATTCATACACAAGGCAACTCAATAAAATATACTCATAAATAATCACAGTACATTATAAAAATATACAATCCCTCAGTTGTATGCACAGCTAAACAGAACTGTTTTTAACCTGGTTTTAAACATTGTCAGAGAGGAGGCCTGTCTCACATCTTCAGGAAGATTGTTCCAGATTTTAGCTGCATGAATCTGAAATGCAGCCTCCCCATGTTTAGGCCTGACTCTGGGCACTAACAGGAGTCCAGTCCCTGTGCTCCTCAGAGTCCGGGCTGGTTCATATGGGACTAACATATTTTGATACGAGGCCATGGAGAGACTTGTAGCAAGCAGAGCCCTGTGTCCCTGTGCTGTGAATCAAATTTCCCCATTGGGGAGATGAAATAAAGTGAAGTGAAGTGAAGTGTTTTAAAGTCTATTCTCTTAGCCCCAGGAAGCCAGTGCAGAGACCTGAGGACTGGACTAATGTGGTCGTACTTCCTGGTTCTTGTCAGGACTCGAGCTGCTGCATTTTGAATGTACTGCAGCTGTTTTACAGCCTGTTTGGACAGACCTGTGAGCAGGCCATTGCAGTAGTCTAACCTACTGGAGACAAATGCATGGATAAGAATCTCCAAGTCTGCTTTAGACACTGTTTTTGATCCTGGCAATGTTTTTTAGATGGTAAAAAGCCGCTGATGTTACTGATTTGATTAAAATTTAAGTCTGAGTCCAGTTTTACCCCAAGATTTCTGACCTTGTTTGAAGGTTTTAGGGAGAGAGACTGTAGATGACAGATGACGCTCTCTCTTTGTTTCTGGGGACCAAAAACAATCATTTCCGTTTTGTCTGCGTTTAGCTGAAGGAAGTTATTTTGCATCCACTCACTGATCTGTTGGATACAGTGAAGGAGTGAGTCCACTGGTCCATGTTCTCCTGCAGTCAGTGAGACATAGATCTGAGTGTCGTCTGCATAGTTATGATAGGAAACTTTGTTTCTGCGTATTAACTGACCTAACGGCAGCATGTAGAGATTGAACAGAAGAGGTCCCAGGATCGACCCCTGTGGTACTCCACAGGTCAGGGCCATATGATCTGAGACACAGTTTCCAATCTCCACAAAGTACTTCCTGTCTTCAAGGTAAGACCTGAACCAACTTAGGGCGGTGCCAGCAACACCAACCCAGTCCTCTAGTCTCTGTAAGAGGATCTCATGGTTGACGGTGTCAAAAGCTGCACTCAGATCGAACAGGAGAGAGCGCAGTGACTGGTCAAAGGAGAGTTGTAATAATTGAGCAGTTGCTTAAAGACCTCGCAACACGCTCTCTCGAGGGACTAAAGGCACTGGAGATGAGGCTGAATGACATTGTGTGCCAATCATTAACTCTCTGACCCGGCATGGATCTATTAAGCTGTTGGTAGACAACTTTTTCAAGAACTTTCCCCATAAATTGCATATTTGAGATGGGACGATAGTTGTTAAGTACCGTGGCGTCGGAGAAATTCTGCAGGTGGCAGCTGTGTTTGTCGTGTGTGAAGTCTGAGGTGTAGATGGTGAAAAGAAACTGTGAGAGGACAATGCCCTGAGGGGCCCCAGTACTGCAGACCGGTTGAAATAATGGTTAAATTCATTCGCCCGGCGCTGGTCTCCATCCACTGTCCCTCTGGCACACGTCACGGGTGTTTCCCTATGCCAGCTTCTGCTCCAGATTTTTCCCATAGTCCTTCCTAAGATTCGGGAAAATCCTCCTGTATATCTTTAACTTCATCCATCCATCCGTCCATCCATGTTCTTCCCCTAAATCCATTTCTAGGTTGGGGGACTGGGAGTCAGAGCTGCACCCAATTCACAAAGCTCCAGCTCTTCACTGATCCTCCTGAATGTGTGGAGTCCACAGGAGGATTTTAACACCATCAGAACAAATGCCCATATAAGGATTGGCTCCAGCTAGCTTAGCATAGCATAGCCAGCATTCAGCAAACACTCCTGATATTCAGCCTTGGTGTGTAACCTACATGACAAAGTGGCGTGTGAGCTGGAAAAGCAACATCTTTAAAAATGATCTTTGAGCTTCAGCAAATTGTTTTTAAATGAAAATATGCAAACGATGTGAGGACAGTCAGTTCTGTACTCCATTTGGATATGCATTTAAAGATAATCAAATACCTGCACCGAGCACTACATATATATGTTAAGACGACTGACGCCATATGAGAGTGTCCTGGTTGGCATTCGTGTTTGGACTTCACCAGAGTCTGCTCTGCAAAGACCAACATGGCTGCATCTTGGCTTTTACTCTACGGTAAGAATCCAGGTAATTTAGTAAAACTACATTTCTATGGATATCTTTGGCGTTCACTCTATGGCAAGAGTTCAGGTTATTTAGTATTTCTATGGATTTACATATATAACATGACGACTATTTACTGATGAACGAATTTGCTGCAGAGTCATAGTAAACATTAAGACTAACAAAGAAGTCAATTTGACAGCTTTTAGGTTTGGTAGCTAAATTACTGTGTGTATGTACTGTACATTTTTGCGGATTTTCTGTATCTATGTTATCTGAAATGACTTTTATTTTTGAACTGTGAGTAGTTTTACCTTCCATTCCATTCTTTTAAAACAACATTTTATGACAGTTAAAGCCTCTTTTCCTCTAAATGACCGCTGTGGGAGTTCTTTTAGTGTCATAAACCTCGGAGTCCTAGTCTTAAAATGTTTAGGAACATCTTCACACAGTGATGATTGTTAACTTCTGCTAAATAATTCTTATGGCTCAGTGGAGTGACCTGTTTTTCATCTCTAGGCCATGGAACAATCTTCTTAACATTTGCTTACGGCCTGATCAACCAGTACCATTTCATCAACAAGTCCAAAAGCTGGAGTGAGGCACAGCAGTACTGCAGAGAGCACTTCACTGACCTGGCCACAATACAGAGAGTGGAGGACCTGAGCAGAGTCCACATCCCAGCTGCTCAGGTTGCTTGGATTGGTCTTCATGATGACCCTGCTGCATGGTTTAAAGTCATGACCAATGCCTCAAACTCCTGGAGATGGTCTGTTACTGGGGCCACCAGCCCTGGAGGCTACCAGAACTGGTGGAGAGGAAGTCCAGATAAATGGCGTGGTAAAGAAGCATGTGTTGTTACAGAAGATAGCACATGGAACGACCTAAACTGCACTGAAAATGCACTTTGTCTTTGTTTTGAAGGTGAGTGTTTTTGACTTATACGTTTATATGATTTAATTACCTCTGTCTTTTGGCTCAAAAGAGGATCGTTGTGTTTCTGTGTTTAGTTCTGTCAGGTGTCAAAAAGTTCATTCTGGTTAATGACTTCAGTAGGACATGGCCCGCCTGCAAGACAATGTGCAGACAGAACTACCAGGACCTGGCTCAGATTGAGAATGCAGCGGACAATCAGGCTGCGATGACGGCCTTATCTGGAGTGCAAAATGCCTGGATTGGTCTGTACCGAGACATGTGGCTCTGGTCGGACCTCAGCAACAGTAGCTTCAGGAATTGGATACCTGGATCACCCAACAACATAAATGGCAGTGAGCACTGTGTCCATATGAATGAAGACGGCCAAATGGAGGACCACAACTGCTCCCAACCACAAATGTTCGTCTGTCATCAAGGTATAGTTCCTCAAAGACACAATAGTTTTGTTGGCACATCTGAGGAGGTGTGGCCTAGACTCGCCTGACACGCCAAATATATATACCTGTATATATAAATTAGGACCAGGACATCAACCAACGCAAGCCTTTTGCTTTTCTCCTTGGAAATAGTTTTGGCGAAGCTCCTACTGCTTTGAAAAACAAAAAACCACAGTGAACATGAACAAATGAGCTGATGAGTAATGAGCTGAGCTCATTACTCATCCACAGGTCCCTCTGTGGATGAGTAATGTTGTTATAAAAATGAACAACTGGAAGCGTTGATAAGAGCAAGGTTGTGTTTCAATATCACCGCAGCACATCGAGTATTACCTCAATGCTAAAAATAAAGCAGCTAGCTGTTAGCGTGGAGATTAGCCCGAGTACAAAGACCTACACCCACACACTCACCAGGTGACTGCCTGAAGGCTGGCATGTAGAAGACAATGGCCTGTAAAATCTATTGTGTATCTAAATGTGCTATTGGTACCCTTAAAGGGGACATATCATGAAAAATCCACTTTTTGTGTCTTAAATGCCTTATGTTGTGTAGTTGGAGCCTCTAAAAGTGCAAAAAAGTTTAAATCAGTCTCTTCATGGGTTGCAGAGAACACTTCATATTCTGTTTAGGTAAGATTTTTCAACCCGTTCTAATTTTGCCATTCTCTATTACGTGTTTAGAACTATTACGTCACAGTATTTGCAGCGAGACTGCTATATAAGGGCATGGGCGTCTAACAAAACACTTCGGCCCAGCCCTCCTCTACTGTGCATCACTTAGAATTTGTAGTCCAAGCTCAAGGATGCCAGCGCACAGGGCTGGACTGGCCATCGGGCGTACCGGGCAATGCCCAAAGGGCCGATGCTCATATTTGGGCCGGTCTGTCTGCCTCATACAAAACACATGTTTATGAGAAGTGTAAATCCGTTAAGAATTGTTCGAGCGGGGCGCGCGTATCCGCGGGGCACCTGCTGTATTTACTCGAACGGGATTCCGCCACCTCAGCGGTCCAGCCGCTCGCAGCCGCTCCACCGTGTTGTGGCTGAGCGCGCAGCCTCAACGTGACCATGTACCCAACCCCATAAACGTGCACAGGACCATGCGTGTCTTTGAGTAATCTGTGCACCCAATAAATACACTGCTGCAGGAAACAGTCCGCGTCTCCCCTCTCCTCTCGAAGCGCGATTAAACACCCTAAATAAAGCTCCATCCATCCATCCATTTTCTTCCCTTTAATCCATTTCTGGGTCAGGGGGGTGACAGTCAGAGATGCCACCCAAGTCTCACAGCACCAGCCCCTCACTGACCCTCTGCAGGTGGTGAGTCCACAGGAGGACAGCTGCTCTCTGACTGTGAGCATAGCCTTGATCTTTCAGTGGGGGCTTTGGGCAAAGTGGGGTTAAGTGTCTTGCCCAAGGACACAACGACAGCAGTCATCAGTGGGAGTCGGTGGAGAAGGTGTAGAGGTGGGAATTGAACCCACGACCTTGAGCCTGAAGGCCAATGCTCTACCAACTGAGCTACTGTCGCCCACTAAATAAAATAAATAAAGCTCTGATACCTAAATTTTGCATTGCATTAAAAGTTCATGTTTGATCCCAAAAGTAATATGTTGTGAACAAATTAAACAGATTTAGAGCCAGCAAATGGCTGACAATATGCATTTCAGTCTTTTTTGACCAATTCTCATCCCTGTAACAAACAATAGTGTTGTCTGTGTCCACCTCCCTCACTCTGAGACATGTTCATTACCCCGGAGGTGCATGCGTCTTTTTCCTTCTGTAGAAGGAAAAACGTTCTTAACGTTTTTAAATGCTGTAAAATTGTGCATAAGTAATATTCAATTTAAAAATTTCTGTCAACGTAGTGCGTCTTATCCTGCGACGTAGGCCAGCGCCAGGCGGCCGCTGTTGTAAACAAACCGGCATGTGAGCTCTGCTTGTGTACAAGTCTCTCCATGGCCTCGCTCCAAAATATATTAGTGACATGTTAGTACCATACGAACCAGTCCGGACTCTGAGGAGCACAGGGACTGGACTCCTGCTGGGACTCTGAGGAGCACAGGGACTGGACTCCTGTTAGTGCCCAGAGTCAGGACTAAACATGGGGAGGCTGCTTTTCAGATTCATGCTGCTAAAATCTGGAACAGTCTTCCTGAAGATGTGAGACAGGCCTCCTCTCTGACAATGTTTAAAACCAGGTTAAAAACAGTTCTTTTTAGCTGTGCATACAACTGAGGGATTTTATATTTTTATCTTTCTTTTTAATGTTTTGTGATTATTTAGGATTTTAATGCTTTCTTATTTTGTTCAGAACTTTGAATTGCCTTGTGTATGAATTGTGCTATATAAATAAACTTGCCTTTCCTTGCCTTGACTGTGCGCATGGATCCCAAGGCTAAAAAGAGAAGAGTCTGGACTAAGAATGAAAATTAACATTTGCTTTCAGTCAATGAGGAAGGCCTGCTTCATGTTTGCGATGTAATGAGAAGTTTCTATGAGATAATTGTATCTGTGCTTAGAAACTACGAAAATGGCCGCTCGGGGTGGAGTTGAACCTGTGTCACCTGGATGGGGTGGGTGGTCAAAAGCGCCTCATTTGCATTTAAAGAGACAGCACCAAAACAGGTTGCTCTCAGACGCACCTCAGAACAGGTGTAGAAGAAAGGCCCGTGGAGCTACAAATGATGAGACTCAGACCCAGGCATTGAAGTTACGCTTTATATAGGCCACAAATTAATGATTTAGATGTAAAAATCTATTATTTGAAAACACGATATGTCCACTTTAATGGCAAAAATTGCACTGGTGTGTTGATTAAGCAAATTAAATAATATTTTGTTTCTTAAGGATGCAGTCAGTGATTTTTTCCAGACGCATTTTTTAAATTGTTCATCCCCAACAAACCAATGGGATGCGTTTACCCTCCTTCACCCTGTTACTGTTTCTCTTACTGCGCGCACCTGAGTTATACGATTTTCTAAAACCTCAAAGGGTGGAACAGAAAATGCCAATTTCACGTTTGCCACCCACTCTCCCTGTTGTGACAAAGAAAATGCTGGATGTTTGGTTTAGTGGAGAGGCAAGGGGAGGGGGGGAGTGGTCTCGAGTTAGTGCTACAGCTAAGCTAACAAAATCGCTTACTGCACCTTTATGTGTCAGACATGATTGAATTCTACCAATCCATGTGTAAACAAATAATTCTCATTGTTCTCAGATCAAACGTTTATATGTGTTTAAAATGCTTTTTTTATGTGACCTGTTTTCTGTGGACACAAATACAAGATTACATATTACATACTGTCACTTTTCAAAAGACAAATAACACAATTTCAAAGAACAAAAAAGGACATAATAACCTCCTCAAAAGATGAATACACAACACAGTAGAACAATAACACAATACAACATCATATATGGGACAAAATAAGACAATACACACACTCAAACAAGGCACAGGCCCTAACACTCTCTGACCATACACCTTTGCTTGATGGACGAGGACATTGTTTGCGATGAGAATGAGGTAATGACTTAAATGGTTTAAGTTTAAATGAACAGATGGACATAAGGGGCAGATGGTGATCGTTACCATGACAACGTCCTCTCTTCTACAGCTGTGATGCCTCGATCAGCTGCAAGAATCACTTTGAAGCTTCAGAGTTCTGCAGACCTCACTGACCCCAAGATCCAGAAACTGTTTTTGAAAGCGGTCAGTTTAACACGGTTTCATGTGATTTATGTTTTTTAAGTACAACATAAGATTATCGATATTAATGCTCTTTTGTTTCAGCTCGAAGAAAAGCTAGGAATGAACGTGACCATCAAGGGGATCCAAAAGGCCGAGCGCAAACAGCCTTGATGGTTCTGCTGCCTGAAGGAGAGTGCAAAGCAAATGTTGTCAATAGGAATAAGTTACGATGACGATAGGTTAAAATCGCAGCATCTGTGAGTATATGGGTCACAGAAATGTAATATTATTCATATAAGCAATAGAGCTAAAAACTAGTCTTAATATTATTTATCCACCTTTTTTTTGTGGTCTTTCAGTTTCTGGTTGTGTAACGTGACAAAATGCAAAAGTTGTATTATTCAATTGTAAGCCACTGTATTTGGAAATGTCATCTTGATAGCAGCTAATGGGGATCCACCAAAACAAATGAGAGCTTATTTTGTTATTCAAATCATTCTCAGACAAATAAAGAGTAAGGCAAGACAGGAATATTTGCTTACAATAATCCTCAGCAGTCTCTAAAGCACCAATGGGATGGATTTTCCTCATGCGACAAAAACGATACACAGCTGATTGACCTCCCACTCCTTTTTGAGTAATTATTAATGAATTATATGTAATAAGGTTTCAGCAGGTGTGTTCAGTTGGTTGGGACAGTGTATAAAGAGTGTGTGTTGGGTTTAACAGCCTTAAAACATACAGCTGTGCCTTTGCTTATTGTGGGTTACTTTTAGAACGTAGTTTGAAGATTTTGCGACATTTTGAAGCAACTGTGGTTTCATACTTCTTTCTTTTTTAAAATTATTTTCAAGATAGAGATTTTATACTTGTTATTGATGCTAGAGTTAGAGATTTTGTTTTATTGTAATTAGTATAGCTATTGTTCACTTATCTTGTGTACTCCTCTTTCCTACTTTTCTATAACTTGTGATGCAACACTGAAATTTCCCCACTGTGGGACAAATAAAGGATCTCTTAAACTTAATCTTAAACTCATCATTCAAACAATAAGCGCAGTAATAAGCAGCAGTTATCTCTTGGTATTGGCCCGTTGGCAGCTGCTGATTGGACGCTCTATGACTCTTCCTGTATGATATCCCTTGTATTCTGTGCTTGTCTACCATCGACAATAAAACATGTGTTCTGTCTGAATCCCAGATGATTGTCATTTTCTTCAATAGCCCCAGCGATAAACTAGGACCACTGCAATCCAAAATATAATCAGTTTGAGAAACTCCTCCAGGACATTACAAGTGACGTGAGGATAATACATGGACTATATATTAGGAGTGGACTGACTTATAGTGTTGGCCTTAGAGCTACCACAAACAGGCTGTCTGAGCAGAAAAGTGGAACCAAATGTAAGTTTTGTCGAGGCCAAGTTACCAAACACCAGACGGGAGCAGTGTCGGCCTGCCCCCTCTCAACGGCGAAAGCCAAATTAGGCGGCAGAAGGCTCATGAGTGATCAGTTGTTTGGGCTCATATCTGGAAATCCAGATATGAACTCACATGAGCGCTAAACCACCACGTTTTAATCTCCAAAGCGAGAGTGTGTCACAAATGTTTACTGAGCTAGAGGAGTTTACGTTTCAATTTAAGTCAATGGATCAATCAATCCATTAACCTTGTCCATGAGCACTTCCCCATTTAGCATTGAGCAATAAGCACCTAGCCTTTAGCATTTTACTTTGGACTAGAGCAGAAAAAATGGTCCGAACCAAGCGGCTACTCCACCTCTGCTGCTGTGACCCGTCCTGCTCCACCCAGCGGCTACTCCACCTCTGCTGCTGTGACCCGTCCTGCTCCACCCAGCGGCTACTCCATCAATCAATCAAGGCATAGATCAAGGCTACGCCATAGAGCGGCCATCCTCCTGTGGACTCACCACTTGCAGGAGGATCAGTGAGGGGCTGGTGCTAAGTGTACTGGGTGCACCCCCCGACCCAGAAATTGATTAAGGGGTAGAAAATGGATGGATGGATAACAGAACAGTCTGTCCATGAAGTCATGAAAAAGTTTAAAGCATTTAGACATGGGCAGGGGACATGGTAGATGAATGGAGCTAGAACAAATCCAGGTCAGTTCAAAATAGGAACAACAATTTTTTGAAAATAAACATTCCTACATGTTTTAGGGGGATTTCCTTGGTTTAGGGCAAACAGGAAGCAGAGGTCAAAGGTGATATAGAAGTAAGACTTAATCTATCGCATCAGTCAGAAAGTTGACATTCTATATTAGACTTATGCAGAGTCTTGTTTTTCTGGTGCCTTGCTCCATCACAGTTTGAAGTCAGTCCTAGAGGTTTTCTCCTGGAGTCTTTCTCTGAGCTGTTTCAGAAAGAATAAGAGCGAGTGCGGTTGAACAGACTGAACAAAAGACTTGGACGCACCAGTTTGAGCAGCTGCTCAGAGGCGGCTGCATCACTCAGGTTACGTCAGTCTGGAATCTCATCTGTGTCTGCAACACGGAGAGTCTCATTTTCACTGCACACACAAGCTCTGAGTCAGAACGATACTCTTCATCAACAAAAGCTAATGTCAACATGGCATTCTGCTATAATGTGGTTTCATTTATTCAATCCTCTGTAAGAAATTATTTACGTTACTCTATACTCACAGTCAGGAAGACACTTTTCAATGACGGTCAGGAGGAATAGATGGTATCAAAACTGAATTAACTCATGTGGAATTATGTATGTACAAAAAGAGTATGAAACAACTGAAAATATGTCTTATATTCTAGGTTCTTCAAAGTAGCATGTTTTGCTCTGATCACTGCTTCGAACACTCTTGATGAGCTTCAAGAGGTAGAGACCTGAAATGGTCTTTCAACAGGCTCAGAAATGCTCAGCACTTGTTGGCCCTTTCGCCTTCACTTTGTGGTCTAGCTCACCCCAAAGCCATCTGGATTGGCTTCAGGTCCGGTGACTGTGGAGGCCTGGTCATCTGGCCCAGCACCCACCACTCTCCTTATTGGTCAAACAGCTCTTACACAGCCTGGGTGTGAATCTACAGTCAATAGTCTTCTATATGAATAACACTGTACCGACTAGGAAGGTACGGTGATTCACTGTATGTACTACTTTGCATACTTCGCCTTTAGTAAGATAAAATAAGATAAGATATTCATTATTTATCTCACAAGGAGGAGAAATTTACATGTCACATTTGGCATGGATAGAAACACTCAGATTGTGCCAAAAAGGGAGGAAATGTGCAAACGTGTTAAATGCAGGATATATTATGTACATAAAAAAAGTGGCAGTTTAAAGCTGATGACTTGATGCATTAGCCTATAGCTGCCTCAGGTCCGCCTCAGTAATCGTCTGTAGTTACAAAAAGCACTGTGAGAAAGTAATCGGCCGGTTTGACATGTAGAAATTTAACTTATGTTACACTTGATTATTCAAACAGGCATGAGAATAAGCACGACTGAGAAGGCCATGTGGTGCGTGGGAAAGATTGCTGCCGTCTTTATCCGTGGCCGAGTGTGGACGGTGATTTCAAACGGAGAAAATGTAAATCACAGCATTTCAATCAGGCACCATCCGCTCTAGGTGTGTTTGTGTGAATAGTAAGTGGAAAAACCAGCCAAGGTCAAGGCTTTAACTGTGATAATAGACTTCCTTGTATGTACTCTTTGATGTTTTACATGTTGTGAAGTTTCATGCTTGTTGTGTGCCATTATTAGAGCTTTAAAGCTGCGGTACCTAACTTTAAAAAACTACAGGACAATGGAGTGTAATAAAAAACACATTACGAGTTCCTAGATCTTTAACCGTTTGCCTCTTTCACTGGTTTCCAAATGCATGTATTTTTGGCCTCTGTCAGATCTGGAAATTATCTTTGTCAGACAGAAAAGGGTAAAATAGAGGACCACCCTCACTCAGCCAACCCACTCTTAGCCCAAACTGTCATATAGTGACTCACAGGGCTCTTTCTTACACATACGCAAAGACATGCTTTCTTATCAGATGAAGACAGCAGTTGTGGTCTGATTTATTTGCATTGATTAACATTTCTGTGCTCATCCTGTGCCCTATAAACCACTGGCTCCTATCTGTTATTATTTTATTTTTTTTTCTGTTTGTGTGATCTGCAGTTCAGGAATCGACAACTTTGTAAAGTCCCTGGAAACTCTATTGAGATTTAATTTTGTTTTTCAATGTTTATTTCTACGTGTTTTGTAAAGCGTCTTTGGAGGGTCCTAAAGAAGCGCTATATAAGGTTTGATGCATCTATTATTTATTAATTATTATTAAGGCCATGCAAAATATTACTCACAAATTTCACTCTTGTAAGACTATCTGTTGAACAAACAATGTGTTTTAATGAAATAAATACATAAATTAGATACACCAGCTTTAACAACATCCCAGTGACCTTGACCTTGCCACAACCACATGTCTTTCTCCAAGACACACTCGGGTAGATGTGGAAGCGATGAAAGAAGATTTATTCTTCACTTTGGGATCTAGAGCTCTCCAAAATCCAAATTCTTCCTATTGAAATATCTATGACACAAATCTTTGCGCTTCGACTATTTTAGTATCTGGGGGGTGGGGTTCGTAAGTGAGAGACAATAACCTGTTATAGAGTATTAGTGTTTTTGAATATGAACATCTATATATTGGAAACGTCTTTGTCCTTGAGACTGAATGTAAAATCAAGGAGACAATGGCAAGACAAGGCAAGTTTATTTGTATAGCACAATTCATACACAAGGCAATTCAAAGTGCCCCTGTGGACTCACACTGCAGGAGGATTTCAGTGAGGGGATGGTGATTTCTGTGTATGGTGTGCAGCTCTGATGCCAATCCCTGACCCAAGAAATGGATTAAGGGGAAGAAAGTGGATGGTATGGCCATTCAAGTGCTGAACAACAAAACAGATATCTTTAAAATCATAAAATTTATCGCAGTACATGTAAAAAGAAAGATACGAACATAAAATATGAAAATCCCTCAGATGTATGGCACAGCCTAAACAGGAACGTTTTTCAACCTGGCTTTAAACAGTGTCAGAGAGGAGGCCTGTCTCTCTCTCTTCAGGAGGAATGTTCCAGGATTTTAGCAGCAGGAATCTGAAAAGCATGTGTCTTCCATCTCCCCGGAGACATGGCAAGGCA